CTAGTTTGAAGTGTGATCGGTTATGTGCCATCAGGACGTTTGCTTGCAGAGGCGTGCGCGTGGTTGGCTTTGCTACAAAACCATCCATTGAAGAGCGCTTTTTTAGCTCTGAAACGTGGCGGGATACCATAAACCATTAGCATTTGAAATTTTAGAGCAAATGTGTGACATACATGCGCTAAAAGTAATAAAATCACCATCACTACTGTTGTTGCTACAGCTATGAATACAAGTTACTGCCTGTTGATGTTAGCAGCTAACAAGAGGTAGTTAACTTAGTTAACAGAGGCGACTGTCCCTCTTCATTCTCCTCCAGGACATGCTTCCTCCTTTTAAGGTGTTCATGCATCGCCGTTGCACGTTTTGCACTCTACTTGCATCTCTGTTGTCTTTGTAAAATTCTCCCAAACTTTTGAGCTAAGTTGCCGACTCGCCATGATGTCTCCTTTCTCCGGTGGTCCGGAGGTTGACCTTTCCAATGGCCTCTACTGCGCGTGAGCCTCAAGCAGAAAGGAAGACAGCAGTAGAAGGTGAGATTTTAAAAAATGCTCATAGAATAAACAACGCATTAACTATTACATTTTTGTCGACTCTTTTGTTGATCAACGCCATCATGACGCGTCGACTAATCGTGGCAGCACAAGCGTCAGAGGACATGTGCAGATAACGACCCTCCAGGTGTTACAGATGTGTTTGTGTGAATAAAAGCCAACACGAGCCTGAAGGCTGCACCAAACAAACACACAAGTCCACAGTCCTGCTCTGTCGCCACTTTTCCTATTGTGTGTGGTGAAAGCAGTCTTTTCTTTTTCCTTCTGAATCATATATTTCTCTAACCTGCTCGTAAACAAGGAGCCTAGTAATGTACACGTAAGCAGATAGACAGTTTCACTTTCCTGCCACAGGCGCTAATCCCTCATCAGCGGGAATAATCTACATCACATCTGCATAAATCAGCTCAAAGATTTTGATAGTGTTAAAGGGCTTAAAAGGCTGTGGCAGATCTAGGATTCTTCTGATGGATTTTTAAAGTACTTTCATGAAATTGTACATGTATTTTTACTGTAAACAGACAAAATACACAGAGAATTTGAAAAAGTCCAGCTTTTTAAACCACAAATAATATTATCTTAAAGTGAAAATGTGTAGTTTTATCATTAATCTCTGGAAACATCCACTGAAATGCTGTAAATGAATTAAAAATACCCAGTTGATTAAAAATATTGGCAGTTTCATAACATATAACCATAAAAATCAGGTCTAAAATACATGGGAACGGGTCTAAGTCTCTGGGTGACGCCATATTGGATGCCATGTTTTCTTCTACAGAAGCCTGTGAAGACAGAATACTGATTTGCAACAAACGGTTCCAAAACTTTCAGCATCACTAAACAATGTTCTTTTACACATTTACCTCTTAACTCGTTGCCAGTGAGGAATGGGAATTTCATGTTCTTGGTATTTTGCTGGAGGTTGCGCTTCAATAAAATTGAAGAATGTTTTATATTTTGCACACATCGTGTTTAAAGTTTAAGTATGAATGATAGGAAACAAGCTACGTTACTTAACTAAAATGATTTTATTTTATTTTTAATGAGGAAAGGACATCTTATTGGTTTCTATGAGCATCAAAAATGAAGAGTTAGACTATATCGGACAATCAAACATCGAGGAAAAAGCAGATTTCCAACATCCCTACTATTTTTGTGTTTTTTCACTAAATCATACCCCCATATATTTCCCTCCATCGTTCTGTCTCTCTCTCTACACACACACACACACTCACACACACACACACACACACACACACACACACACACACACACACACACACACACACACAATCCCATATCAGCACTCTGGCTGTGTGAGCTGCTGCAGACTCTGAAACAGGATGGTTCTGCTCGAACATCAATAAAAGGCAACAATCATCATCCTGACATAAAGACAGCAGAATCCACAGATAACTGTATACTAGTGGCCAACATCCAAGTGTTTGCAGTAAGGTAGCCACAAAAGTACACATAAGTTCAGGTCAAATAGTCAAAACTTAAGAATCTTTCATGGACTTACAGTAAAATAAAGCTGTCAAAAGAGTGTTAGCTTCTTTAACTTAGTTGAGTTACAGACTAATTTTGCATGACTGCAAAAAAGTTGCATTCAACAAATACTAAATACACTCAGTTTTAAAGAATGCAGCTACTCCTCCATGCTGCAGAGCTCTGTGCCTGTTATCCATGAAAGGACTTACATTTACTTCTCCCATGATGCTGCAGTGTGATGCTGCAGCATGCTAAATCTCCTCTTGCTGCCTATTTAAGCATGCAGGTACATATTAGTCCTACTTGGAGGGCTGAGGTGAAAGAGCTGAAGGGATTTGTTAAAAACCGGAAAGAGGCAGAGGTGTGACATTTAGCTGCTTGATCCCTGCTCTAGCAGGAGTGCACGAGGGTAATGACAGGCTGTAACTCAAACGGAAAGCAAGCTGCAACAGCATCAGAAAGTCACATCTACTCAGTGGGGAACACTAAAATAACTACGTGTATCATGCACAAGTTTTCATTCCAGAAAATATACATCAGACATGGGAAAATGTGCAGCCAGGAGACAAGAGGCTGCACAGATCAGCGGCTCCCTGGGGAGCAGTAAAGTAACCAACAGGAGAAATCAATGCACAGGGTCGATGGACAAACATTAAGTCCACACTCGGACACACGTGGCTGACAGCATTCACAATGCTGCACCCTTTAAAAACGTAACTTTCACACCAGCTGCAAAGGGAGATTGAGACAGTAATGTCACTGTGGTGGCAATCAGAGGACTTTACAGAGGTGAGTAAAGAGGACGTAACAGTAGGTGGGATCATTCCAACGTAGCTGTCAACAGTCAATATTAATAATAATAAAGCAAATAAACCTGAGAAATGCTAAACAGGTGTTTCAATCCGGCCCAAATCTACCATAAGGAGAGTCTGAGCAAACCAAAAGGAGCCAATATGATGGACAAAACAATCAGAATCAAATAAATGCTGTTTCCAGGCAGGACTTAACAATAAATATGTATTTTAATGGATTATTATTGGTTGTCTGAGTGGGCTCAAACAAAATAGTCTCTTTTGATTGGCTTAAATGTGCGGGAGCAAAAGAGTAGCTGGATTGTTTACACCGACTCCAGATCATTAAAATGAAGTAAGGTTGCAGGTTCGATCTCGGCTCCGACCAGAGAATGCTGCTGTTGCGCCTTGGGTGGGTGTAGAAGGCACCATACAAACACAACTCAACAAGAGGATCTGGTTCATACTGACATGACAGCATCACCGAGCTGATGCAGATCTCTGAATATCCCATTCTGCCACACCTCAAAGGTTCTGAACTTGTCTGAGATCTGGTGAATGTGGAGGTTGTTGGAGTCCAGTGGTCATGTCCTATAAACCAGTTATAGATGGCCTGAGCTTGGTGCATCATCCTGCTGCATGCAGTCATCAGAAGATGGTTCTACGTGGTCATGAATGGATGGACATGGTCAGCAACTATACTCGGGTGTGTAAACCAGGCTCAGGCAGTCCTGAAGGGTCCAGCAGGGAACCAGAACTTCAAGTTTATGCCAAATTCTGACTTGACCATCTGAATGTCACGGTGGAAATCAACCATTTTGACTAAACCATTAAGGAGCAGTCATGCGATTGGCTGAGAAGCTACGTGTATGCGTTATAGGTTGTATGCTATCTGCTTAGGCTGATGCATAAATATAACCAGAGTCATGCATCATGAGATAATTGGAAGTGAGTCTACAAAAGCGGATTACCTGATCAGAACAACTGGTTATTTGGTTTTTCATGAATAAGGATTATCATCAGGTGGAGTTAATAAAATAGGTCCTAAAGCAGGGGTGGACAACTCTGAGCCTTGATGGCCGCTACCCTGTTCCAACATTCAATGGTTGTATCACCTGTTCAGCAGGTCGCCAAGCTATGTAGAAGCCTTTCAATAACCTGCTGATTAAAATCAGGTGTGTTAGAGCAGGGAAACAACTAAAACACACTGGATAGCAGCCCTGAAGGACCAGGATCGCCCACCCCTGTCCCCAGACTTGTAATCTGGTTCGGATCACACCAGAAATGTGTTCAGTCTTTTCCAGTAGAAAAATAAATGAACTTAAATTTTAGACTCAGGAGCTCCAATGTGTTTTGCTTTCAGTCTGTGTACTTTAACACCAGATATTCCGGTCTGACAGCATCACCAATCACAACCCCTCTTTTTGTGCTTGTCTGACTCATCTCTGGGCAAACTCCAGCCGGTCCCTCAGAAGATCAGGTCAGTATGACGGGAAGGGAGCTAGTTTGCTCATAAATGGAAGCCAATCTTATCAAGTGATCCGTCTCTGCAGTAGCAGCCAAACTATATTCACTTTGGAGGATCATATCCTGTCCACCCTCTTCTCTCCTCTTCTCCCCTCCCTCACCACCTCTGGTCACCTCTCCCTCCTCCTTACCAGTTTGAGGTATGAACCACAGAACCTCACAGATCTGATAAGCTCACTTTTACTCTCGCAGTCTGATTTCTGTGTGTCTGCCAGCCTGAGGACAGAAACATCACACAGGTTGGTCTCATCTTCCGAAACCACATTAAGGAGGATGCAGATCAGCTGCAGGAGGAAAGAAAACGCCCTGCTCAGATCAGTGAACCCCGGCCCCGCTCCTTCTACAACATCACCTTTGCTTTAGTGCCGAGACCACATCTGAATAACACAGCTGCTTTGTGCGCCTTTACCAGTCGCATAAACGCATCTTCTGTTCATTTGTGTCTGCGGTTATTTAATTATCAATGATCCCCTGCAACAACAATGACATCAACCTTTACGGATGGTTGGAGAAATACCTCCAGAAAGGCGAGATGGGGCCGCAGCTGGGGGGAGATGGGTGGGGCTAAATTAAGGATACAGCCCGGGAAGGCGCAGATTTAAAGCTTCACTGATCAGTCTGAAAAAATCAAAGTTTTTACCTTTAACTTGAGTCTCGTATTCGGCCACGATCTCCTTGTCCTTTCGGATTTTGGCTGGAGACGTCATGGTTGAGTTTTGGGATCAGACCGCTCGTCCTCTCTCTCTCTCTTTATCTGTAAAGTCAAATCTCTGCAAACTACCCGGATCTGAGTGGCCGCAGACGGCTAGGAGCGCCACCGCTATCAACCGGATTAACGAGGGAACCGGAGAGCCCAGATGAGGGGTGCAGCTCCTCGGTGAGCCCGTGGATCGGTATTGTCTCTCTGCCTCTGCTCACTCACTCAGGGCGCATTGTGAGTTTGGCGCTGCTGCTGTATCCGCCGCCTCCTCCAAACCGGTAATGGTGCAAAAAGCTTCCACGGAAAACACGCTCATTCCCTTCTTAAAATAAAACTGGCCCAACTTGTGTGCACACTCCCTGACAAACTCCGTTTTTAACATAAAAAACTCTCCACAAGTCTATCTGGTTGGAGCTCCCCCGTCTGTCTGAACTATCTCCTTGCCCCTCCTGAAGTGAAAGAGAGGAAACCGAGCGAAGAGGATGCCTACTGGTCAGCTCTACTGCGCAGGCTGAGCATTTGGAAACACAAACATACACAGATAGTACAATAAGTATAAGAGTATCCACAAAAACACCAGATTATCCACAAAAAAAGGCTACCACTTAAAATTCCCTAATTTAACGTTGCTTCTGTGCATTGTTTTTATTTCATCTACATCTCTTCGATCCAGAACATATGGAAGCATTATATTTAGTTAATTAAAATGACATTTAAAAATATTATCTGAAGCTGTGCTTTTTTATGCTTTAAAAATTATAATTTAAACTTTTTTTTTTCAAAATAAACCACGCCCACAGCACTTCCCACAACCCAATTATTAATGAGTCTACATCATTTAAACGCCGGCGCACGTAGAAGCTGAGTGGACACAATTAATTTGCCCCCCCCCCCCCCCCCCCCCTCCAAAAGTTCCTTCAGCTCTAGCGGCACCGTCTCACTGCGAACCTGCTTTTGTTTTCTTTGCCAATATCACGTTGTGGTCCAAAATGAGCAAAGCGAGTAACTAAGCCGAAAACACGATATCTAGAATGTGTGTTGATCAGTAGCAGATTTAATGTGTTTTTTTTTTCTTCTTCTTCTTTTTAGAATTTGTAATTGCACATTTATGTTAAGAAAACACTTTTTGGCCACTATAATATCAAAGCGACACGCGTTTCTTTTTATTTGAGATAAACTTATTTATCGCTGCATGGTGGCGCAGTTAGCACTATTGCCTCGCAGCATGAAGATTAATACCTACACGGAGTAGATAGCTGCTTCTCTAATTCTTGCCACTTTTTACATTAATAATTTTATCATGTGTTTTATTAATTCTTATATTTGCTTATCTCTTAATTAATTTTTTTCTATCTTACCTTCTGCACCAAAATACTGCAGCAATTTCCTAATGTTGTGATGTGGCACACATATGGCAATAAAAACTTCTGATTCTGAAGGTTGCAGGTTCGAAACTCGGCTGCAGCCTTTCTGCATGGAGTTGCGTGTTCTCCCCATGCATGGGTACTCCGGTTTCCCCCACAAATCCCAACATGCCCTATAGGTTATAAATTGTAAGTCGCTTTGGATAAAAGCGTCTGCCAAATAAATAAACATAAACATATCGCCATTTATCACGTGCCTTTATCGAGTGCCGGTAGACCATTAACGAGTAGACCAAAGGAAAAGATTTAAATGACATTCATCTCCACCAATGAGTAAAGTGAATATGAGGCAGAGCGTTTCCAACCAATCAAATATGGGGATTGGAAAGACAGCAACCAATAGCGACGGCTACTACAGCGTTTACCCAATCAAATTCAACGTTATTGGTCTTTTAAATTAAGTTTCAGGAAGTGCCGTTAAATAGCAGGAAGCTGTAAACAAAACCGACCGCTATTTGGCTAGCTGTTTACTACACATGAATAGAATTAGTTGCGCAAAACCGGTTACAAAGCGCATTTATCAGCAATACAACCAACCCGTTCGCACGCAGTTGTCGATCTGCCGCTGTTTTGTGTGTTCTTCCCAGCTAGGCTAACGGGGACAGCCCTCCGCTACGGTAAAAAGCTAACAAGGACCTTTTGCGAGCTCTCGTTGTCTCCAACACAGCAAAGTGAACATAAATCGTGTTTTATTTACCGGACTTTACGGTTTGTGACCAACATAAGTATCCGCTCGGTGTCGTTAACTGGCAGAAAGACGGAGGGTTCGTCCGTAATTAGCAAAACAACAATGTCAACATCCAACGCCAATTTCAAGAACAAGTGTGTTACCCTGGTGAACTGCATCTTCTGCGATAGTCTGCTCTGCACCAGAGGCATGAAGGCAGTGCTGCTAGCAGACACCGAAGTGGAGCTCTTTTCTACGGACATACCTCCAAACAGGTAGCTGCTAATGCTGTTAGCAGTCCTGCCAGTCTTTGTTTGGGTCTGGAGCGAGTGCTTTACGAAGTCATGATTTGTTTAGCTAAAACTATAAACATCTGTTGTAAGATTGATGCTGATATGTCGGTTAATCTTCGATGCTTGTATCTAATGCTTGTTTTTATTTCCTGTAACGCACCCCTGCTGAAGAACTGTTGATTTTGTGGCCAGCTGCTACTCAACTGAAAGCTGTAAATGCAAACTGAGAGACATCGCGTGTCTAAAATGGTGTGTAAACCCCTCCTGTACCTCCAGTGTGTGTTTAAAGATTCTTATTTGCTCATGGAAAAGAACAAACACCAGTTTTAACATGGTAGCAAATATGTCACCCAAACACACCTGCTATATCTTACTTTTGTAGAGCTGCAGATTGCTTGTTTATGGGACAGTTATCCTTTTGCACACATCTAGGGTCTGACCAACAATCTAAAACCTAATTGTATGAAAGCTGATTCCTTCAAATGAGCATATGTGTCTTTTTGTTTTTGTGGAAAGTCATGGCTGTCTGTTGGTTTCTAACTTAAAGCCAGTTTTGGTATTACAGGGAGCCTCTTTGTATTGCCAGGCTTTTGCTGCAGTTGTACTCTGTGGGAAAAATATGAGCATATGTCAGATAATGGACCTTCTCTGGTGGTGTTAGCACTTTTCCAGAAACGCCTCTACCAAAGTGCTGATCTTTGTTTCTCCTTTGTTCTCCAAGCGGGAATGTTGTTGGCTATCACGTGGTCGCCCCCTGTAAACCCTGCCTGCTCTCCTGCAACAATGGCCACTTCTGGATGTTCAACAGTGACGCCGTCTCTACCCTCAACAGACTTGATGCAACGGGTCAGTAGCCTTCTGTAAAGCTGGGTCTCTGTGAAACCCTTTCAGGTTTTAATGAGCATTTTTTTATTGCGCCTGCAGGTCTAAATCTTCTCCTGTGGGGAGATCTTCCAGAGCTGGATGACAGTGAGAGCGACGAATCAGGAAGCCCATCAGAGGAGGAGTGTATTAGGTAGAGAGGGATGACAGGAAACGACCTGGAGGCTTACATTTAGGAGTAAAAGTGGAAAGCACACGTATGAAAGAGTAACTCAACACCAAATCGCATAGAGCAGATAAGAGACCACCTGCAGCTCAGACCACACCCCAAAACACTGATGTCACAGCAGCAGGTGTTTTTTTTTTTCACCTGACAGGTGAAGCACACCAGCTCTGACATCACCCGCTGAGGTGTGGCCAGAAAAGTTCTTGTAATTTAGTGTTAAATTACTCCTTAACCTGTGACCAATGCCTTTCTTTTCTTACTTATCACTGCTGAAGCACAGACACACACTCGCCGCTCATTTTTAATCCACATTTCACGGGCTCAGAAAGAAAAAGCTGAAGACTTTAACTGAGCTTGATCCCTGTTGCTCGGCATGTATTTTTTTTTACCAGCCTCTAAAGAATAGAAGATGATGTTATGAGGCGTAACTGTGAATGCTGTGCTTGTTCGCGCTGTTTATTTTGAAGCAGACGTTCGCTACATTTCACTGATCTTTAGTAGGAGTTATAATCTGTATACTGAATATGCTGTGATGAGGAAACTCAGATTCTGAGTGATGTCTTTAAAAGGCCTGTATTTCTGCTGTGGGGCTCGGTGCTGAATGAAACCTCCAGTGCTTTTGGAATCTCACCTGTTAGACAAACGGCACAATGACTAAATGATGGTCACAAATTGAGCTTTTTATTTGTTTTTCTTACAACCTAGAAGTGAAAGATGTTCTGCTGCTGCATTATCCTTGTGGTGCAAGCTGGGTAAACGTACAGAAGGGTCCATCATCCATGGTGTGTTTATGTAGCAGCACATCTGTAGCATCTGGACGAGAGTAAGAATCGCCAACTCCCAAGAATCATCCACCACGATGGTATTAACTTGTAAGCTGGTCTCTCAATTAAAATTAGCGGCGTTTCACATCTCGTGAAACGAAGACGTCTGGATCCTTGCTGACATTTCGTTATCTGAGAATGAACCGCGGTTAAACCAGAGTCTGTTGGGGGCTCCACCTTCAGCAGAGTTTTAAATCCCTCAACCACAAAAGAAAAAAAAATATTTATTTATTTTTTGCTTTGCCACTTTTGAGCCCTTCTTCTTCTGCTAATTTTGCATTCCTGTCTTGAGGTACTTGTCTCCCTCTTTGCTTTTGTAGAAAGAAAACATTGAATGTTAACTTCTTACCTGAGAGCAGAGGATAAAAGGTGGTTTGTTTTATTTTTGCATAATTTGCCTGTTGTATTTAGCTTTGCTACAGCTTTAAATTATAAAAAAACAGATGGAAGCTTTTACTTTAATTTAAAGTTAGAACTGACCGTGGGTGACTCTCGCACCCTAGTGTGTGTGTGTGCAGACAGGAAATTATGCATTATCTTAATATTTATTAAACACCAAATACTGTAACCACATTTTATTTTATTTATTTTTCTAACAAACTTGGTTTACAAATGCTTTGATTTGTGTTGTGCTGTTTCTGTCTGATAAATATTCTTGACTCTTTTATGTTACTGATGGGATGTGTTCAGTTGTACCTCATGCAGGTATCACATAGGAGTTTCCTCTGGACAGGACGCTCGTTTTGAATGATAATCATGATTATTTAAACGTCTGTTTCTGATGTGATTAACATGCCCAGCTGATGATGTATATTTTGGAATTGCACTGAAATGGCTTAGTTGTTTGAAATGACTTGTTTTGTATGCTTGTTTGGTTAATAAAGTTTATTTTTTTTTTCAAAATCCCCTGAAGTTCTGTTTATCATTTTAGTTTTGAGCAGAATTACATTTTTAAAAAAATATTTTAAATCTAGAACTCTTGCTAGACAGGTCACGTGTTCAAAATAACTAAACTTGGTTTTCGTGTGCTGGTAGTGCAGCTGTTCTGTGTCTGGGCAGCTTTCTGTGCTGGAATAACGGTGTTTCATAAATCAGCGAAACGAAAATGGGATTATTTTTGAGGACATGCGATTGTAGCATAATCTCAGGACTACAGTTTGCTGCTTTTGAGCAAGTTCAGACAGTTTCATGATTTCTCCGTTTTGTAAAACAAACATCTGAGTGAAGAGAGAAGATGAGCCAACATAAAGAGAATCTTGGTGTTTCTGCACCCCCGAACCACAACGGGAATAAAAAAAGAAACATTTAATCCCACAAATGTCTACTTTAATTATCTGTATTTATACATTTCTAAGAGGTGAACAGGATGTGTACTTTTGTCACAAACCTGCTGAATCAAACCTGATGGCCTTTCTCTGAGCTCTAGATCTCCCCCCCCCCCCCCCCCCCCCACACACACACACACTCACTCACACTCATGTTAAAGTGATTCATTAGACTTTATACAAACAGACATTAACTCTTACAGAGTTGGTTTTGGTATTGGGATTATATAAATCAAAATGTTAATATAATCTTGGTAACCTCACTCAGGAGTCAGCACAGACCAAACTGTTGACCTCCTTGGTAACGGTCCCCAGGTTGGGAACCACTGGAAGGAGCCAGTTATATTATAGTTATTATGGTTATGTCATCAGCATAATAACATCTTAATGGTCTTGCGGTTGTCCACATTGTGCTTTTACCACTCTAAAGTGGAGATAAAGCTCCCTGCTGTTGGGACGAGTTAAAAACAGCTGATCCCGACGGCTCACCCTGTTAATGCTTGGTTTTGTTGCAACTTGACTGGTCATAGATCAAATGAATCAGCCTGGTGATGTATGCGTAAGATCCCGTTAACATCTCTGAGGGTGATTTAACGCTGGGATGTGAAACATGCTGGGATGTGAAACACGCATGTGCAAAAGCAACTAGAACCTGCATGTTTGTGAGGAGAAGGGCATCGCAAGGAAAGATTAATCAAGCTGGCTATGGCAGAAAAGTGACTGAGGCACAGCAAGTTATTACAAGTCAAAACATTTCCTGCTGCAAAACCTTTGTTTTAAGAATGAGAAGACAGATTTTATTTGCTAGATTTAGACTAAGGTTTAAAACTTGGTGATTATCATTTGGCGCAACACAAAACTAGCAAATTCTGAATCGTTACAGGATAATTAACACACACACACACACACACACACACACACACACACACACACACACACACACACACACACACACACACACACACACACTGGATTTATTGCAACATACCCAAAAATAGTTTTCTGATCACTTTATGTGACTTTTTAGGCTCTACGGTTTTAAAACCAAAGATTCAAATGTATTTTTTAGATTGGATTGCTTGAACTTTAAACAGTTCTTCTACTTTTGCTGAGAAATTATTGAAATAAAAACAATGATTGATGCATTTCATTTCAGCTACTACTCCTGCTAAGACATGACGGTTGGCTCCTTCATTCAAATATTTAACACCCCAGGTGAAAGACAAACAACAGAGGAAATGTTTGTTTGCCAAGAAACACCTCTGATTGTGTTACGCCTTTCTCACTCTCACACGCATTAAGTTTGTATACAGGAACATGTTAATGTGAGAAAGCTGAAACAAACTTTAGGTGTTAAACACCAAAATCTAGTCCTCCCAAGCTCTTCACGTCTCCCACGGATGTTTTAATCACTGACGGCATTTCTCCTATGACATTTATGCTTTAATAATATTATTATTAAAATCATCTTGCTCTGATTTTTGGAAGAAAATGCCATCCTTTTAAAAATAGCAACCAAGTACAGAGATCACTGTTTTAGTTGAATCTCTGAAAGAGGGCTGCAGCACCCTCTGCTGGATTTCATCCGTAATCACACCAGCAGAACTTGTCCGAGCTTTCAGGGAGCAAAAGGGTTCATTAAACTCATCACTCAGCTCATCAGAGGTGTCGTTCATAAGTAAATGACCAGCTTATCTGTTTTGGCGATGGCAACAACTGCCTTTTTCAAATGATATCTAACTTTATTTGTCATTCCCAAATGATTTATGACCAGTTCAGCAACATTTTTAAAACATCATAGAACACCTACCAGATGTGCAACCATAGCAGAACATGCCTCTCATGTGGTTTCCCTGAGCTCACAGAATCATTACACTATAAAAGTGTTCAAATAGGTAACAAGTTGACTGAGTTCATGTTTGGTCATTTTTACATATAAGGACACAGCTTAAACACTACAGAAGTTTGAGTGAATGTTATACACCAGAGGTCTACAATCTGCGGCTCTAGAGCCACAAGTGGCTCGTTGGATTTTACATAATGGCTCTTGACAACTTTGGCTTCAAATAATTAAAAGAAACCAACTCATGTTTTATGAAAAATACAGTTTTAAGCAATATTTCATGTTAGTTTTAGTAGAATAATAGCGTTGGACTCCCACACTAAAAGTACCTTCTTTTTTCAGATGTAATTGTTTTTATTTTACATAATTTTCATGTTTTTTACAACACAAAATGGTGGATTTTTCAAAACTGCAAACAAATCTTTAAAGGCACAGCGTGGAAAAACATTTGACCCCTTAGCATGCAGTTCAGAGTTCGTATTATAGTCACAGGGCTGCCAACTTTTGGATTATCTATCTGTGTGAGGGTGGTGGTCGGGGGGCTGGTGTCGCATCCCTCCATGGGGTGTGTTGGTGTGTGTGTGTGTGTGTGTGTGCTCATGCGCGTGTGGGAACAACACTGTCTTCATTCAAAAGTTCCTGTAACAGTTGCACTACCCTCTGCAAGATGTTAAGAGGGAAGAGGAGACTTTCATGTCAGACACAAAATGCAGAGTATTATATCTTGTATGTCCCTAAACAGCTACACTATTTCAAGATGGTGCATGACTATGGGGCGTTGACCACAGTTTATATGAAAACGTGCATCTATACATATAGGATGGCTTGCCAGGCTAGTTCTTATTCTGGATATCCTTAATTATAATTTCTATAGTAACAACATCTGTTGATGTCTTCATTTGCAATTGTGACTAAAAACAATACAACTAATACAAAGATGAATTAAATTATTGCTCTGTAAAATAGGAATTACAGAAAGGTTTGATTGTTGATTCAAGTGAGGGTCAAGGCCTGGGTGGAGACATATTTCATCCACACTTGCTGTTAGGAAAACACTTCTTAAAGAGGCGTCTCCTGGCGGACCGAGAGAGCGGCACTAAGGCAGTGTTAGACCCAAGCCCCCGTAATTCGGGTCTGGAAATGAAGCCAATACGGAAGTCAAAAAAATTGCAGTTCCACCCTCATCCACTAGGGGCTGGTGTCAGAAGCAAGCAAAATCCTCAATGACTCCCATGTTAAAACTATCAATTTCACAGCAGAAATAAACATGTTTACAGCCTGGTTCCAAAACATGTTTCAGGTTTAATAGATCCAGTTTACACTCATGACAACTCTGAGGGGGGTGATTTTTTTGTCACTATTCTGTTTAAGTGTATTAAATGCCTAAAATTCTGAATAATTAATGAGCATCAGACCCACGTGACCGCAGAGCTAGCTCTGTGGATAGGCCTCAGTCTGAGCCTTGGCCTCGCCTGAAAACTGTTCCGCCATTTTTAGTCTCTCAACTTAGACCGTTAGTTGTGCCGTTTGTGTATTCTTTTTTGGATATTATTTGTGCAATTGTTGGACAAAATGACTTGCTGTGGCATTAATTACACTAATAGAGCATCCAAAGAGTCACCACTTCATTTTTTTCCCGGTAAGTAAAATTATATTTATGTATTTTAGGTCACTGCTGCTTTTGCACTAGCTGATCTTAGATTATAACATGTACTGTTTAACCATGAAATTTAAATTTAATAGGGTAAAACCCAGTGCATTTAACATGACACTGCATTTTTGAAAATAGGTTGATATATAACATGTTAGCTACCCCTGAATTAGTCATTGCACCCCCCATAGCACCCCCAAGTAAATATTAGATTTTTTATTTATTTTTACTATTCAATTTTAATTTAACGTGTGGATGTGATAATATTTAACATACAAAACAAAAATAATCAGTAAATTTTCATGAAGATAGTAAAAACTTTAACCAAAACAGGAAATTGAGGTTAACCTTTGACCTCATTTTCCACCTGCGAAAGAGTGAAAGGTAGAGCTAGTGGTAAAATGGATCGGTTTTTGTTGCCCAAATTTCCACGGGTTCAGTCAGAAACGAATGAATCTCAGACCCACAAAAACCTACAGATCTGGGTGAAGAGAGTCAACCCTCAACCGCCGCAGCAGTCGAGGGTTTTGCCGCTGGAAATGCTAACACTAACGTTAGCTAACCATGCAACACTATAGATGGGTTTCTGTGTGGCTGTATGTGTTTATGATTTCATGGACAAGTCAGCGATTGTTCATATGTTTATGATGTATATTAATGATTGTTTCAGGTGTTGTTGAGGTTTTGTGCAGGCATGTGTATCTGCTAGTGTTGAAGGTGTTTTAGAGAACAATAGGTACGCATGACCACTTCCTTCATAGCACCCTCAATAAAAAGACTAGCTCCTTCATAGCACCTGCAGAAAAAAAATTCTGGAGCCGCCACTGCATGTTGGTGGAGCTGGGTTCTGACTATCGGTATGGTCCCCTCCCCTCAGCGGCAGCTCAACCCATCTCTGACCGCAGCGCCTGTCTGCTGCGCGGGCTGCCGGCTTGTGGAGCTCTCGAATGGAAACCACTGTTTTCCAGCTGGTTCTCCCCAGCGGCAGCTCAGAGCATCTCTAATCCTTTGTCTGTTTACTGTGTGGCTGCCGGCTTGTGGAGCTTTCGGGAGACCTCTGTGTTCCACCCGGTTTTACCCAGTGG